GCGAAGCGGCGCTCGGTGGCGGCCCCAGCGGCGGCGGCGGCGGTCGAGGAGGAGGAGCAGCAGGCGCGGGAGAAGATGCTGGAGGCGCAGCGCGCGGACCCCGCCGGGGAAGGCGAGGGCGTGACCCTGCAGCGCAACATCACTCTGCTGAACGGCGTGGCCATCATCGTGGGCACCATCATCGGCTCGGGCATCTTCGTGACCCCCACGGGCGTGCTCAAGGAGGCGGGCTCGCCAGGACTGGCGCTGGTGGTGTGGGCCGTGTGCGGGGTCTTCTCCATCGTGGGTGCGCTCTGCTACGCCGAGCTGGGCACTACCATCACCAAGTCGGGCGGCGACTACGCCTACATGCTGGAGGTGTACGGCTCGCTGCCCGCCTTCCTCAAGCTCTGGATCGAGCTGCTTATCATCCGGCCCTCCTCGCAGTACATCGTGGCTCTGGTCTTCGCCACCTACCTGCTCAAACCGGTCTTCCCCACCTGCCCGGTGCCCGAGGAGGCCGCCAAGCTCGTGGCCTGCCTCTGCGTGTGTGAGTAGGGGACCTGCGAGGGGAAGAGGGGCAGCCGTGGTCCTGGGTCCCCGGTCCCAAAGCCCAGCATCCCTGCGACCCCGCCTCCCTGGACCATAGGAGGCTGAGGTCTCCTGTGCCAGAACTCACTGGCCTTTCATTCATTCTATCAGCCCGGGGGCCCCCTGGAAAGACCTCAGTGAGTGGGTGGGGGTCTAGGCCAGACCCCAGGGGGCGGTCTGCTTCCCCCGATCAGCTCCATTAAGACTTAAGCAGTGCCACCCACAGGCAGGCGGCTAAGCAATACTCAGTGTGTCTTGCAAGGGCCCACGTGGAGTGACTGAGGCGGTTTCCTGTTTCCGCTGCAGTTGTGATTGGTTGTTAGGATATTGCAGTTTAAAAAAATCATTCATTTCTGTTCTCCAAACCAGCCTATCAGGACTTGGACAGGCTGACTCATAAGAAAATAGTAGTAATAAAATCGCGTGTAGGGGAAAGGTTCTCACTGAGGCCCGGCAGCAGGACTGCATTCCCCTTCCCCGGCAGCAAGGGCAGCTGTTGGCAGAGCCCTCAGGTTGGAGGGCACAGTGCTAGTCGGCCAGAGAGGGCTGCTGCTCTGCACAACAAAACTGCCAAAACGGTTTCCTTGCACGATTTCAGGGTTAAAAAGTCAGTTGTAGCACATGCTATCTGATTAGTTTTGTTTTGTTTTTGGCTTTTGGCAGTTCTGAAGATCATTTCTGGCCAGGTCTGGACATGTCCTGCTTTCAAAATTCACACCGGAGGCCCTGGCCTTCCAAGATGTAGATCTGTTTGTTTGCATTAAAGCTGCTACCTGATGTAAGACCCACCTGCATCTTGGTAGTGTTCACAGTGATAAGGCTAACAGGGTTGCGCTTGCGTTTGGGTCACAAGCAGTGACTTAGTACTTGGAGCAGCTCCTGGCTGGCAGTGGTACCTGGTGCTGCTGTGTACTCTGGGTGGAGTAGCCCGGCTCAAGCAGTCACCCTGCACTCTAAGGCAGGGTGTGTAGATGTGGGATCAGAGGTAGAAGCACTTTGCCAAATCAGAAGCCTTCCTGAGACCAAATGAGACCGGCACCGTGATGAGGAGGGGTCTCCACAGTGTGGTGCTGGAGACCCAGAAACTTGGCTTGACCACAGCTAGGCAGGGCCGTGGCCGTGGCTGTGGTTGTAGCCATGGCGGGTCTGCTCATGGATGTGCTGTGGAGAACGGTTCTGTGGGGTGACCCCACGGACTGTGTGAGGAAAGGAACAGGCCTCTGACAGATTGCTTTGCTTGTTTTGTCTTTAGGGAATTTTAATTGTTGAGTTTTTGTCACCTCAAGGTGGTGTTGGATGGGTAGGCTTGGTCGGTAGTGACGTGGACCTATTTAGAGGGCCCCTCTCGCCTGTGAAATGGACCCTGGAAGGTGAGTTGCTGAGCTTGAAGTTGCCGGTGGCACCTGGAAAGTACTGCTTTGGCTGGGGGTGGGCAGGGAGGACAGGTATGCGCTAGCGTTCTTTCTAATGGAAAGCCAGCTGGCGTATGACTACGTGGTCCCATTCGGCCATGCATGTAATCAGCCATGAGATCCACTTCCTTCTCCTCTTCCCCACCCCTGGGCTGAGACTCCACAGCTAAAATGCACCTTCCAGAGTTTTCTCTTTGCGAATACCCAGGTGCTCCTTAAGATGTCAGTTGGTTCTCCGTGTACCTCTCGTTCTCTATCTTGTTTTCAAGCCTGAGGCAATATATCCACCTCAGTGTGCAGAGGCAGCTGCTGGTTTTCAGCTCTGGGGAAGCTGCACTTAGGACTCGGACAGGTGTGCTCACCATCAGGGGTTCCAGGTTTGAGAAAACAGCAGGTGGGGTGGAGTGGACTCTAATGCTGTAGCCACAATGTCTGCCAAAGAAGCTGTTCAGGCCAAACACTGTGAGCCTCACTGGTCTCATAAGTAGCTTTCAGACAGTCCTTGGGGGTCCCATAGGTGAAGCCCCCAGGTAAGTGCTGAGTGGAAATCCTTTGCAGGGTGCAGATGGGGTCAGGCAGCATCCCTTTCTGTTCGAGAAGGCATGCTTTGCCGATGCCCGTTAGCCCTCTGTTCACATGTGCGTGTCACTGCCCTTTCTATGGAACAAAGATCTGCAGTGACAGAAAGGAACAGGCTGTGTGGAGGAGTGGTCAGCACCCGCCTGGGCCATATGAGCGAGGCTACATCCCAGGCCCCAGACAGGGAGCTGGCCTGGCCAGTGGGGGAGGACTCCTGGGGACTCCCAGAGGCACTCTGACACCACCCATGGAGTCCAGGGAGGACTAGATCTGGCCGTGCTCTGGAAGGACATCTAAGAAGCTTCAGGTGTGTGCAGCCTTCTAGGTGGAGAGGCAGCTCAGGCCCTGACCCAAGGACAGCTATGCAGGGCATGGCGAAAATTTCAGGCATTCAGTAGAGGACACTGCCTTGAGTGTAGGGCCACTGCTCCTGAGGAGAAGAGTTTCAGTGTATCTTCGTGATTGTATATGAAGTAGGTCTCAGAATTTCTCCTCAGGAAGGGAAAGGCCAGACTACACCCCACACTTCCTGGAACCTGCTCCTCCGAAGGTGCCACATGATGGCCTCTAGGCCACACGCTGACCGGGTACCTGCCTGCTGGGAAAGGGCTATGATACACAGGAGGCCAGACTCTGAGCCTCGGCTCTGCTTGATCTTGTTGGCCCCGAAGGCTTGTCCCTCTACACCTTTCTGTTTGCTAAAGATGGTCTTGTGAAATGGCTTGGCTGGTCCGGCTCCTGCGTGGGATGGTCCTGCAGACAGGAAAGGTGGGGAAAGCGGGTTCTTGGGTCTGGCACTGGGAATTAGGTCTAAGGTTCCTTTCGCAGTGTGTCTTGCCTGCATTTGTTTCTTTGTCAGTCCTAAAGATGAGTGAGTTGCTTAAGGGGATTATTTATTACTTAATGAAAAAATGATAGCATTTAAATGGACTTCAAGTGATGCCAGATTTTATCTACAGAAGACGCAGACTGGAGCTGAGGTTCTGGCGGGGCTGGGGTTTCAACAGGCAGCCTAACCTCCCCTGGCCCTGCTCGGCCATATGCAGTGGCAGCTCCACGGAGTCCATCACTGGGACACGTGCACAGGGCAGCCCAGGGCGGCTTCTGCAGCTCTTATCCCTCCAGGGTGGAGCTCTTGGACCTAAGGATCAGAGTTGGCCCTCTGCCACCTGGCTGTGGGTGTCAGGGCCCCAGCCTGCAGACGAAGGTTCCTAACATAAAGACACATATCTGCTACCTCTTCCTGTTGAGTGGAGGATGGGGCCCTGCCGGCTGGGGCAGCTACCGGGACTTGCTTACTGTCACGCTGCGGGGCGCCCAGTGCATTCACAGGCCTCTCATCTCTGGCAGCTGTGAACCCGAGAGGTGATGGCGAGTTTACCTGGGCTTCCTAGAACCAGGTCTCCCACTCTCAACTGTCCCTCCTCTCCAGGTGAGCATGGGGCCAGATAATGGCCCTTCCTGGCTGCTGTGTGTCTGAAGACTTGTGACTTGATGTATTTTTTACCTCTGTGTAGAATAGGGCCTTGTCCCAGCCCCACATGGATGTCGGAGAGGATTAGGCCAGGCACAGTGTCAGTCATGCGGCATCTCTTCTTCCTAGCTACCAGGGGGGAAGCCCAGGGCTGGCTCTTTCTTCTCTAGCAAACATGAAGAAGGAGAGCGGGAAGCCAAGGTGAACCAGGTGCCTCCCTTCCCTGGAGCAGGGCTCCAGTGTGACCCCCCCCTTGACGAGAGGACCAACCCAAACCACCGAGGGGATGGAGGAGTCTGGTTGAGGACCCAGTCAGCTGACCTGAATCCTGGGCATGAGTGGGGGTGATTACCACAGAGGGGTGTGGGGTGCTTCTGGCGCCTTCGACCTTTGAGTCGTCTGCTAGTCTCTTGTAACCCTCAGGTGCCCACCGCTGTAGACCGCACTCTAAGCCTAGCCCTGTCCCTCCAGGCCTGGGGTATCTGGACACTTGCCAGCCACCACTGCAGGGACCCTGGCAAGCAAGGAAGAGCCCTGGTGTTTCCAGGGCACTCGGGGGCCCCGCGTCTCCAGTGTGAGCTCTGTGCAGCTGACAGTCTGGTAATTAGCCCTGAAATCCGGCTTTCCCAGCAGCCATGCAGGGGCAGCTGGCGCCTGAGTGGGTCACGCCCAGTCACGGGGCCAGCCTGGGCCTGTGGGGCTGTTCACAGAGCGCGTGACCCCCAGACTGGCGGGAGATAGGCGGGCGTCTGTACCCCTTTCCCTCGGGGTTACAGAGCCTGGGGTAACCCCGCAGAATGTGCAAGATCCCTGCGGGACGGCTCGGCAGGAGCCTTCTTCCCCCGCAAGACAGTGGGTAGCTCAGACCCCGTGGCCCAGGCAGATCAAAAGCTGCCCATACAGCGCGTGCTCAGCCTCTCCTCATCCTGCCCACCCGCCCCTGAAATCCATGTGACCATCTTGTCTTGCGACCAGGGAGACTGAGGCGGGAGTAGGCAGGGAGCAAAACGCCATGACACCACCTCCAAGCTAACCACCATTTGTCATCAGGCATACGTGTGAGGCACCTGGTATGCCTGGGCACCTCAGTGGCCTGGTGGGGTGGAGGCCCATCTGTGTTCTGGCCTCTTTGGGGAGCGCTTCCCTCCCCTCCTGTGGGCAGCTCTCCAGTCATCCTCTGAGCTTCCTGAGGAGGTTCACTGTGCACGTAAGCTCCAGGATGGCCACCCCTGCTCTCCCACTTTGTCCTGCACCCCTCAGACACACTCGTTACCTGCTGGCCCCTGGTGCTACCCAGGCAGTGCCCCCTCTGCTCCACGGCTGAGTTCTCTAGGAGGACCCATGCCTTATGGATCCTTGCAGTTGCTGGACCCTGGCTAGAGAGGGCACGCCCTGCCTGTGCGTCCAGGCCAGCAGGCGTGCCTGTCCAGCCGGCCGTGCCCACCCCTTCCCTGGGCAGGACCTGCCTGCTATGTGAGGACTCAGCACTGACTG